GGATCGGACGCTGCGAAGGTGGCGCCGGAGGTGGTGGGCAAGTACACGGTGAGGACGTTGCAGAGGACGGTTCCCGCGGCCGTTCCCGGGATCATGTTCCTGTCGGGCGGGCARAGCGAGGAGGAGGCGACCCTGAATCTGAACGCGATGAACGCTTTGGAGGCGACGAAGCCATGGACGCTGTCMTTCTCGTACGGGAGGGCGCTGCAGGCGAGCACGCTCAAGGCGTGGGGAGGCAAGGTGGAGAACGTTGCGGCGGCCCAGAAGGCGTTCTTTGTGCGCGCCAAGGGCAACGGGGAGGCGACGCTCGGCAAATACAGTGGCGCTCCCGCGATCGAGGGAGCGTCAGAGAGCCTGCACGTCAAGGACTACAAGTACTAGTTACGCGTAAGTCAGCAGTAGCTGGATACTTTCGGGTATAAGCATCTAAACCACGTACTACGTCGGCATTAGTCATGCGAGTTTCGCAGAAAGGGAGAGTACCTCCTCACCCTTGAATGAGTGTGGCATAGTAAGTGGAGCAGGAACGTGATGCGAGTTTTGCCCGAAGGGAGAGTAGATGCAGGTTTATTTTAATGTGTTTTTCTTTTCTTGTTTGGCCCAGCAATTTGTCGATCGGTGCCCTTCGGCTTCAGATGAGAGAGAGAGAGAGAGAGAGAGAGAGAGAGAACTTTTGTCCTTTTGTGGTTTTCAATTTGCTGGAAAATCGATCGAGGGGAGGTGGCTTAAAAAATAATGGCTTTTATGAGAGCAGAATCGGAAGTTGGTTTGTGAAGTTCCGCTTACATGTGCTGTTGATTGTCTGAAGTTCTTTTCCTTGCTATTTTTTTGATTGTATGAAGTCCCAGTTTTTTTTTTTTGTTTTATCTTTTGTTTGTCTAAAGTTCTACATGTGTCTCACTGGTATTTCGGAAAGGAAGTATGGTCGTACAAGTACCGGTCTTCCGACTCTTCTCACGAATGGAATGTACGGACATTATAGCTGTGCATTCGTCGCCTGTTCCAGTCTAGATACAGCCGTAACAACCGTGGCTTTTATTCGGCGGGGTAAGTGGCGACTTGCGGTGTTTGTTCAGACTCATTTGTTCACACTTTTTCGACGTTTTTTCCCCCAAGCTTTCTCCACATTTGGATGCGTTTTCCCATATTTCCCCCTTTTAATCGAAGTCCAGGTTGTTGCCGAGGTTGTATTGGAGTTTTCGTTCTAGAATGTAAAGATCTGTCTTACCCATGATAATACCCATGATATTACCGATGAAAATTCCGTGTAACTGGATGTATTGTCCGTGATATCACCAATGCTTCTTACCCATGGTCCCATGCTACTATTCATGGTATTACCCACTCGTCGTGATATTACCAATGAAATTACCCTTTTTTTTTCCCCAATGGAAATACCGTCCGCGACAACAAATAGTGACGATACTTTACTCGTTTCTTTTTTTGTCCATGCGCTTGATTTATCTTACAACATCATGATCCCGTATCGCGATCTCGCGGGTGATTGATAAGAAGAGCCCTAGCTTTTTCAGGAGACCACGTGCAATGTATTGATTTTCTTTAAACCATCTCAAAAGTTTGAGCGAAAAGAAAATTCGATGGCCTCTCTTTCCTGGACATACGGTAGTCCCCTCTGCAATCAAATAGCACGGCCGCTATTCTAGTTCCACTGCGGCGTCAAACCCCCTTTCTTGCTGCGTGACCCATTGATTCTTTCACAAGGCTCTTTCTTTCCATCTCTCTGTGCGCATCATCAGATTCGCATGTATCTGACTCCGTCTGGATTCGAGCGGGTAGCCCCTTACTACTATGTCGCATGTATCTGACTCCGTCTGGATTCGACCTCGTGATTTGTCGACTAACGGTGAGATGTCTGAACCGTCATGCGAATGGGCTGCCGTAGGTAAGGAGGCACTCCAGGGGCGAGGTCCCACTAGCGAAGAGGATTGGATGAGGCTCCTGAATCTGGATTTGTTTTCGGCAAAGATGCAGGAAAGCAGTTCACTCTTGATTTTCTGCACCGTTGCACAAACACGTCCGGATTCAGGTGTGTACCTTTCAGCTAAACAACGTAATTTTATGTATATATATATTTTTTAAATCTGCCCCCCTTTTTCTTTCAACTTCTACCTGCTGAGAGCATACTGACACTAGCTTTTTTGACTGAGCTCTGGACGTCATTACGGTCAGATACATCCAGGTCAGGTTGTAATTCTTTTTTTTTTTTTTTTTTTTTTTTAAGGCTG